TTTAATTTTAATTTTTATTAACCAGTCTCTATTTATTTTACCAATAGAGTTCACTGTACTTATTTTAAATGAGTCCTCGCTCTCATCACTATTTAGTTTCACTAAACCACACTTATTATAGCACTGTGCTGCAAAATGATTGTACTTTTGGCACTTCAAACACTTTTTATTAAATGCCGGACATCTCCCATAAAGATGCTTTCTACCGCATTTCCCACACACACTCTGTTTTGATGTATTACTCATGTTAGTCTCACTAGGTTTCTGCTGCTTCCCTGCCTTACTCCAATTGGTCCGTGACCCAACCTGGTACCTAGTCTTTGGTTCAGATTTGGTCTTCGGCTTATTTATCTTTGCAACCACATCAGTGTTGTCTTTTTTCAGCTCCTCAACCTGCTTTTTGGCTGTTTCCGCAATCCTACATGCTGATATACACTTTTCTAATGTTAAATCCGTAGCTTTTAATAAACTTTCTTTTAATTTTGCATCTTGTATACCTAATATTATTTGATCTCTAATTAAACCATCTTTTAGTGTTTCAAAGTTACAATCTAAACTTAACTTCCTCAACTCAGTGATAAACTCATCGTAAGTCTCACCATCTTTTTGTTTTCTAGAGAAGAACACGTGTCTGTTAAAAGACTCATTGCTCGGCGGTCTGCAATGTAATTCTAATTGAGTTAGTAACTTTTCGAATGTTAAGTTTTCTTTATCCTCAAATGTATTATACAAATTTAATCCATCGTCTCCAATTGTATGAAGTAATAGTGCCTTCTTTTGTTCCGGATTTAGTTTCTTCTCCGCCCCACTCGCCAAGAAATATAGCTCAAATTTTTGTTTCCAATCATGGAAAGCTTGTTTTAAATTGCTCGCCCCCGCTATTTTAAGCGGTGGAGGCGGCTTTAACAAATCCATTTTTAAAAAAATAAGATGCAATTTTACCTTTAATCTTTAATGGCGTTTAAATGGCGTCGGCGTGTGGCGTGCCGCGTGTCGGCGGCCCTTACCGGAAATTTGCAGATCTCTTTTCCCTATTAGTTTTTTGTAGCTGTCCGCAGCGCCATGTGATATTGGTTCGATTGAAAATACTTATAATTTTAATCAACGTTTTTAATACCTCGATGTAATATAGGTTCACAATAGTTCTCTTACAACAAGTCGCCATATTCTAATGATCTATAAGTTATATCTTATTCACAATTACCATAGATACACTGGTCAGTGTTGCCACACCTGACATCTTGCACTCTATTGAGTACTTTCACCATAATATAAGTCTTCTATATAAAGGGGCGCGTCTAGGGACGCCGATTAAAATATATAAAAAATGTTTTGATAAGGTAGAAATATCGACTATAAAGTTTATGATGATTTTTGCCTCTTCGGCTTGTGCAAATCGGCAGATTATTGAATTGGACACTTTTCAGGATGTGACTAGCCTACCACACCTTAATCTGACGGTTTCAAGTATTTCTACCTTATCAAAACATTTTTTAAACATTTTAATCGGCTTCTCTAGACGCGCCCCTTTATATAGAAGACTTATATTATGGTGAAAGTACTCAATAGAGTGCAAGGTAACCTCTTTTATGTTAATCTGCCGCGCTTGAGTAACTACAAAAATCTCCTCTTGGGCTCCCCTACTATATTATATGTATACCTATAGATAACTGAAGCTCATAGCCTCTCTGTGTTCTAAATTTCATCCAAATCCTCCAGCTTTTTTGGCTTGAAGAATTAACAATCATGTATACATACACAAACACACAATTTCTCTTGGTATTTCAATTTCAACTTTTAAAAGTAATAATAATACTGTTGTATTCTCGTTAAATGTTTTTACCATTCATTACTATAAGATTCTATTATTTAGTAAATTCATAACATAAATAAAATTATAGCAAACTTATAGCAATTTCTATTGAATCGTTAATGAAAAGTCTCAAAAAACCGGCAAAATATTTCAATCATCAAAATACTTTAATAAATTGAAGTGCTCGGTACATTTATTATAATGATATTTTGTTAAAAAATAATTATTTACCGTATTAATAATTATTATATGCGGTAGTTTCACGTACATTTTAATTTTATAAACTACTAGCGACTCACCCTTACTGCGTTCGGGTTCGTTCCTAGATACGTTTTAACGGTTAGTATAGATTTCTCAGAGATATTTTACCGCAGTGAAAAGTATCTTATGTTGACCCGGATAGCCAGCTTTCCTCATACAAATTTCATCAACATCTGTTCAGTGGTTTTCTCGCGATGTGTTCCCACACAGACATACAGACAGACTAAAAACTATAGATTCGGCCTCTTATCTATAATAATGACTAATTCAATAAGATTTTATTATAATAATAATTTTATTATATTGACATTAATATTTATACGATACTAACGTCACTCAATTGTTTTGCCTTCCCGGAACCTCTCCACTAACACTTAAACTTTATGGTATGGTATTAAAGTTCAAATTGACTTTTAAGTATTCTTACGAATCTTTTGTATGGGAGTATAGAAAAATGTTGTTTTTAGATCTTTTCAGGGAATTATTTAAATTTTTCTCTCCGTAAGAACCATCTTCGTACTTCAAGGAATTTTCTAAAAAAAGAATTAGCGAAATCGGTTCAGCTGCTCTCGATATTTGCGCTTACCAACACATTCAACGATTCATTTTTATATTATAAAGATATAGATAGTAACCCAATTGTAGTAATTACTTTAAAAGATTACTCAAATAATTTATTACTATAATATATATTCCACTGGAAAACGTCCGCCTAATCTAAAATTAGTGACCTGAACAGTCGCTCACGATACAACCATGTAACGATCGAGGTATAAAGTGAATCTACGTAGCAGTCTAAACATTCAGCTGACTCTAAACTTAGCGAAGCCTGCAAACTTTGACAGGTAATCGATTCGGCCCAAATTAACTTCGACATTTGAACGAAAGCGTGTGTACACTAATTGTCCATGTTTTTTTTTTAAGATATATTAACGACTTACAAGTTACACTGCTTTCGCTTGGGTGGGTCCCTAGGTATGTTTCATTTAGATAAAAATAGTTAATGCGAGCGTACTTTAGGGTATAGACACATGCTATTGCAGACTTTTCTGTAAGCCTTTTTAAGGTCTACAATGTCTAGTTATCTCCAAAGACAGCTTTAGCCGTGTAATCGTACGAATACAGTATTTTTTTTGACAAAAGAACGCCTAGGATCAGCCATTTTGTACAAAATATTTTAAAAAATATATACACAAAACTTAATGATTTATGGTTTTTGCTATTAGTGAAAACCGTATCAAAATCTATTGCGTGGTTTTGAACAAGTAGGTAAGCGGAGAAACAGACCCAGACAACGACTTTGTTTTATATTATGTATATATTTATGAAGTGCATTTATATCTTATGTAAATCACCTAATTTTGAAAATTAATAAAGGGAGTATGTTGGTAAATAAAAATCAAATAGCTCATAATTAGCCATTTCTGAGATAAGTGGGTACAAAGCGGCCTTAATGGTATTATAAAGCAGCAAATTATAATACTATTTCATGCTTTAATCACCGTATTCTGTGCGCTCCATCTTAATTATTCTTTGAGCTTATAAGTTATAGAAGCATAGAATAGCAAAATGTTGTGATCGTCCTGAAACTTATTGTTTCCTTAACTTTATGTCACATAAACCAAAATCATCTGCTATCCATCATTACTTGTTATATAAACATATACTTTATATTACAACAATAGAGTTTAGATTTGTTTGTTTCTCATAACTCCATCAACGGAAAGTACAGCCAATATAAATATTAATAGTCTTGCAAAAGTGAGAATTGGAGTTTGATTCCGTGTTAGTGCTTTTGGTGTTGGCAGTACGCCAGACGTTGTATTACTTTATAAAACAGGGCCTATAAAATATAAGACATTTTCTTTATTTAATGATAAATTAGTACTTATTACTAAATAAATGTGTTGGGATATTACAGCACCATCTAGTTCCATGGTAAGCTACGACTTGTGTTATGGATACCACATAGTTGATACACTACACGTATATAACTTTAAATACATACATATTATAAATATAAACATCCACGATTGGAGTATAAATATTCGTGCTATCACACAAATGGATGCCCCATGGAACCCGCGACCACTGGTACAGCAAGTAGGGTACTACAAACTGAGCCAAACGTGTCGTCAAAACTACTTAGTAGTTAAATACAAAGGCTACTATTTATCGATAGGACCACGTGACTGGAACTGTTGTGAAAGAATAGTAAACCTATCCAAAACCTATCCATATAATACAATTGTAACGAAGCCGAATCTGTACCTTAAATATTTTTTAGAAAATCTTATTGAAAGAAACATTATTATCGATACAGAGGCCGAATCTATAGTTTTTAGAATTTTTGTCTGTCTGTCTGTCAGTCTGTCTGTCTATGACCGCATCATGACAAAACCACTGGGCAGATTTTGATGAAATTTGGTATGATAATAGCTGGTTATCCGGGTCAATATATAAGATACTTTTTATTGCGGGAAAATATTATCTCATCTCTGAGATGATGATGATGATGATACTAACCGTTAAGGCGTACCAAGTCGCTAGTTAACTATAATTAGCACCGGTATAGAAGTACTTACATTGTAGTAAAAAATAACATTAATCATTGTCATTTCGTGGAAGCAATTTCCTCTAATAAAATTTTTACCTTTATTAATGAATTTCTTTGAAGAATTTTCGGCCCATTGAGAATGTTTTTCGTTTGTGAATCACCAATAGATTTTTTATGAATGGCGAATTTCCATCTTCATCTTTTACAGTTTAACACGAAATTGGAATTTGAAAAACATATTAAGCAGTATTTGGGAGCGTTCGTCATTTTTAGGTTTAAATTGTTGACATTTACATTTCTATACAGACTATTTTTGCTATTACTAAAATAACACACTTGTTTTTTTTTAAATAATAACATTTTCCTTCATATAAAGTCCCCCTGAAGAATTTCTGGCACCAATCGCCAATCTGAGAGATTGAGATATTTTATTGATAAAATTACAAGAATTTTACTTTAATTTACAGGTCATACAATGAATTAATTTTTTCTACATTATGTTTTTTTTTATGTCAGGACATTAACACACAACACCATCTAGTTCCATGGTAAAGTGTTATGGATACCAGATAGTTGATACATTATACATATATAACTTTTAAATACATACATATTATAAATAAATATGTTGTATGTTCCATAATTATAAAATATTTATACATTTTACACAGCATTTTGTCTTTTACATTGTTATTCGTATTTATTAAAATTTTCATTTTGCTTATTTTAATTCAATTTTTACTTAGTTATTTACATTTTATTTGTTTTAGTAACAAATATCCAAACATTTTATCTAGCTGAGACAGGCCATCTGCGCCGATAATATAGACTCACACGTATGTTCGAGTATGTGATTAAAAACTGTGATTTGAGAGGTAAAGCACAGGACTGATAGCGTGTCTTAAGTTCTCTTAAGAGGTATGGAGGCAACACTGCCAACTTCCCAAATCTGGACTAGGTACTACTTAAAATTCTGAACAGAAATATCCAAAATTACTTCTTTATATAAAACTAGTATTCGCCTAGTAATCAAAAATCGACTATTCATATATTTAGTGGAAATTTGTGGAAAATAATAACACTGAATCTCGTCAAAAGCTAATAAATAATAAAAGAAAATGGTTGACAACGGACAAAAATCAAGTGCGATTCGAACTCGCATACGAAGGATTCCGTGCCATAATCGTTTTTTTTTATTTTCATAACAGTCTCTTTGAAATTCTTCATAATAGTCTCTTTGAAAATCTTGGCTTTTTATTATTTATTGTTATAGTGGAAATAGAAACACACACTCTGTGAAAATTTCAACTCTCTACCTATTACGGTTCATGAGGTACAGCCCTCTGTCAGACGGACGGACAGACCCTTCGGATACGGAACCATAAAAAGATATTGAACTGTTTTGTCTTTGCTTATTTACATATAGATAATACGAATAAAACAATCAGGCTTTCGTCCTTTTCACAGTACTGTTGGCGCGTTGCTGAACATCACGGAGGACATTCGGTCCGCCATGGACAACACTAAGCTCACTGTAATGGTTTTGCTTGATTTCAGTAACGCGTTCAGCACGGTTGATTTCGATATACTTCTTGGCACTCTACGAACTGTTAATATGTCTCCCGCTGTTATAAATTGGTTCCAATCATATCTTTTCGGGCGCTGGCAGCGCGTGACAGCCAATGATAACTTATCGTCATTTTTTTTTTTTTTTTTTTTTTTTTTATCTCTATTTTTATTTAGGGACTTTTATCCTTTTCGGACATGTCAGTCCCATCATATCTTAACCTAAGTACAGCATCACATATATATTATGGAAAAAGGGAAATAGATTCAATGTTGCAAAACCATATCCACCAAAATTTTAACAACATCAATACTTATTGGGTTCGCTAATATACTTAAGTATGGTCCAATATCATATCTATTAATATTAAGTTTTTGCATTATTGATTCCCTCTCCCTTTGATGTTTAACACATTCTACAAGGATGTGTTGAACATCGTCTATCATGTTACAACTACTACATAAGGGTGAATTTACCTTTTTCATAAGGTACGCAAATTTATTTGACGGATAATGTCCAGAACGCAGTCTATGTAAAACAACAATATATTTTCGATTTAGTTTAATGTTAAAAAACCATGGTACTCGAGGAGGCTCACACTGTATAGTTTTGTACCAAATACCCTTTTCTGTGCTTCTTTCGTCGAAATATTCTTTAAATTTTTTACAACAGATAATTTTAAATTTATTAAGTATTTCAGTGTAATAAGGCAAAATATTAAATTCAACTCCTTCCGAAATGGCTAGCTTAGCTAACTTGTCAGCCTCCTCGTTACCACTTAAGCCTATATGAGATGGAACCCATTGCAATCTTAGATTTATTTGAGAGTTATTCAGCATGTGTATCCTTTTTAACACATTGTAGGCTATCGGTATACCTCTGCTATAACCAGAGGTGCACCGAGCCAAATGCTCTAAAGCGCTTTTGCTATCGGTGAGTATAACAAAATTTCCATAATCAAAATTCCTTATCATATAGTTAATTGCTTCTAATATTGCAAGGAGTTCCATGGTCATAATTGACACTGGAGCGTCTACTTTTAACATACTAGATATTTGGTTTAATGGATCATAAAAGGCAGCACCGAGTTTATCATTCTTTTTTGCTCCATCGGTAAAGATTTTAAACCAATTTGGATACTTCCTGTTTATTTCATTTAAAATGTCAAATTTAATATAATTCTCTAAATTCTTTTTCGATTTTTTAACGCAATCTAAATTTAAGCTTATAACATTATTTAAACCTATATAGCTCAACCATATATCTAATTTAAACATTTCCAAAGGGTATGAGTTTTGGACCACACAATCTTTACAGTCACTATAAGCTGTACATAGCAAAGGTTTTTTAGCACGCTGCCAATATCTTTCGCAAATTGGTGCACAAAGGTTATTTAAAAGATCTATGGTAACATTATTTGATCGAGACATACTTTTACTACAAAACTTAAGGGCAAGATAATGTCTTCTCAGAGATAATGGTGGTATACATAGCTCACTTTCCATAACGTGGATTGGTGTACTTTTTATAAATCCTCCTATTATTCTGAGGACAGTATTTTGAACCTTGTCAAGCTTAGATAAATGAGTTTTTGCACAATTAGCATATAAAAAACAGCCAAAATCAAATTTACTTCTAACCAATGATATGTATAAGGTACGAAGATGCTTAGGGTGAATTCCCCAGCCTGGGCCTGTAAGTATCCTAAGTAAATTTAAACATTTAGAAGATTTTTCTACAAGCATATTCACATGATTGCTCCACCGTAGCGATCTATCCAGCGAAAGTCCTAAATATCTAACATTATCTTCAACAGACAACATATTATTATTAACGTTTAAATTTATGTTTAATCTCTTATGCCCTCTATTAAAAATACATACTTTAGATTTCTTTGCAGATAACTGAAGTCCTATATTATCTAGTAAAATCATCATAGCGTTTAATGCCGCTTGTAAATTAGTCTCGCAATCATTCAAATTTTTGTGACTCGTATACAGTACAAAATCATCTGCGTACTGAGCTACAATAACATTAGTGATTTGCTGGCTAATGTTGTACGTAATAATATTGAATAGCAGTGGAGATAAAGGATCCCCTTGTGCAAGTCCTCTGTTAGTATGTCTTTCATCTAAAATACTACTTCCTTGACCGAACCCTTTTTTTAATTGTAAGGTGTATTTCGTTTAAGAATGACCAAAGATATCCGCAAATACTTTTTCCTACTCCTAATTGGTCGAGAATATTAATAACTTTATCAACTAAAACATTATTGTAGGCATTTTCGATGTCAAGAAAACAAGAAACTGTTGGCACTTTTTTAGCGAAACCTATTTGTATATAACTTACTAATCTTGCTAAACAATCCATGCACGAGTGAGCCCTTCTGAACCCACATGTTAATGGCGAAAAAATTTGTTTTTTTTCTATATACCATTCTAAACGCTTAACCAACATACTATGAAAAATTTTACACAAACAGGATATAAGTGAAATAGGTCTAAGCTTGGGTTCAGTATCAAACTCACTACCTAATTTAGGTATAGGGACTATCAATATTTTACGCCACTGACTCGGTACACAGCCCAATCGAAATATAGCGTTATATATATTTAAAAGCAATTCTTTTCCAGACAGAGGTAAATTATAAATCATTGAGAACGTAATACCATCACTACCTGGAGCAGTGTCTCGGTTCTTTAAACAACTTTCTAATTCTTGTAAGATAAAAGGAGTCTCGAGAAGATCATTATTTGAAATTAAAGTAGGGGCGCAATTAGACACAGAGTCTGGAGTTAGAGATCGAAGTAATTCTTTTTGTTTATCATCTGGAACCGAGAGCTGGGTATGCCGAAGTCCTTTAAACCATTGCATCTTGTTCCACATGTCTAAGATAGATGTACACTCATCAATACTTCCACAAAAATTCCTCCAACTGCAACCTTTCGCCAACCAAAGCTGTTCCCTTACCGCCGTAACTTTGCTCTCCAATATTTCGAGATTATCAGGAGTTGGATTTCTTCTAAAATTCCCCAAAGCCAGTCTTCGTTCTGCCACTAATTTAGATAAAGATGAACACCAGAATTCTCTTGGTTTAAATTTGTTTGTTGGACCAGTATTTAATCTTAGTAAAGGAATGCGCCTATTAGCTGCGAGGATAATTTGACTTAAAAAAAAATCATAGTGTTTCTGAACATCATTAGTATCAAAATTACAACTATTAAATTGAGACGTAATATTTAATAGGTCGCTTTGATATTTATCCCAATCCGCTTTTTTAAAATTCCACCTTATATTATACTCTACGTTACTACTAAAACACATAGTGATTTTAATCATTAAATGATCGCTGCCTAAATTTTCATTTAATACTATCCATTTAAAATATATTGCAATATCTGAAGATGCAAACGTAATATCAGGCGACGATTTTTGTAACAAACCATTTACCAATTTAATGCGAGTGGAATCTCCGTTATTTAAAGACACAAAACCGTGCTCCAGTGCAGAATCTATTATTTGCAGACCCCTACTATCATTTTTGTATGACCAATTCGTGTGATGGCCATTGAAATCACCCGCTATTATTGTTTTTTTATTTATAAGACTAAAAATGTTATCCCAATCTGCTTGACGTGTTTGGACTGACGAAGGAATGTAAACAGAGATAATATTTTCTAAATATTTACAATTTAAAATCTTTACATGGACAATTTCTATACCTGGATTGATGGCATTGACGGAGCAAAGATGTGATTTTATTGATTTATGTACAATGACTGCTACCCCTCCATAGGAGTCGGGCCTATCCTTTCGGTAAACATTGTATCCTCGAATACGAACAGGTGTTAATTCATTCAACCAAGTTTCACATATTATTGCTATATGCACGTTTTCACTACACAATATAGAATCAAAATCAACTAACTTAGGCCTTAAGCTTTGTGAGTTCCACTGAACAATGTTTATATTAAAGTCTTTAGCCATTCCAGAGGTTTAAGAATTTTTCTGCCCACATCCCACCGGAAATATTTTTCATCAATATTAACTTAAACGTTTCAAAAATCGTCTTCAAAACCATAAGGATTTTATCTTCAAACTTATCTTCTGACATAAAAATTTCTTTTAATTTCCAAATCAAGTCACAGATGTTAAACTTTCTGCTTTTTCTTTATCTTCATCTTTCTCAGTTATCTTATCTATACTATCTTCGTTCTCTGAGCTCGAATCTTCACAATCCATTGATGTTTCCTCCTGTGTGTTTGGTATTTTATCCTTAATTACTTTCTTTCTTTTTTTCTTTGTAGGATTAGATTTTTTTGTTGCATCACTATTCAAATTATTTTCCTTATCTTGAATGTTTACTGAATGTACTTCCACTGTACTTTTTACTACGCTGCTGTATGTTCTAACTGTATTTTTATTCTTATTCTTGCTGCTATTTATTGTGATAACTTCAGTTTCCTCTTTCTTCTTATTCTCCTTTTCATTTCTCAAATAAAGTTCTAAAGCCTTTTTGTACGTAATATTTTCTTCACTCATAATACAGCGAATCTTTTTTTCTTAAGAAAAAAAGGGCAAATTTTGTCTAATGCCATGTGAGGACCGTTACAATTTGGACATTTGTATTCTTCTGTATCACAATTAGTATGATCCTTTCCGCACTTAGGACATATAATTTTATTCAAAGAACAAAACTTTTTACTGTGGCCAAACTTCCAACATCCTGAACATTGTGTTACAGGAAACACAAATTTATCGACGTCGTATTTACAACCATAAGCATCAATGATCTTTGGAATAGACACATTCTTAAAACATAAACGTACTGATTCACTTTCTATCCACTTATTCTCGCTATCTAAACGTTTCATTCTCTTTGCAGATACTATCTCGCACGAGGCTCTTAGATTTTCTAATAATTCTTCTTCACTAATATCAAGGTCTACCCCTCGTATGATCCCATAAGATAAGTTACTTTCGTCAGTAAATTGCGCCCTTATATTCATTTCTGCTAATTTTCGACTTGTAATGAGCTTTTCAGCCTGCTCTTTACTATTAAATACAATAAATATTTTGTATGGACTTTTGTATTTAATCTTACTTACGTTAACTATACATTCATTCCTCAAAAATCTAGCAAAAGCCATCTGTTTCGGCATAATTTGTTGTGAAAATAAACAAACTTCATATTTTTCTTTTTCTGTTGTATAATTACTATTTATGTTTCTGTTTACAACTACATTAGAATCCATATATGACATATTTTCCGTAGAACAACTTCTAATCAAACGTTTTGAACTTTTCTTTTGGACTGTTATAAAACCATCTTCACTGCCGTCTTCACTCTCTCGCGTACGTTTTCCGTTTTTCCGGTTCTCCAATTCTTGTAACTCTCTTTGACATTCATTTAATATCTCCGAATCACTTTTATCTTCATCGCTTGACTTCGCCATTTGTATGCAGATGATTTGCAGATATACCGACATTGTAATTTAATTGAGTTGCCTGAGGCTGTTACGGCTTTGAACAATGATTTAGCTGCGATCCAAAGCTGGGCTGAATCTTTCGGTCTATTAGTAAACCCCAAAAAATCGCAATCTATAATTATTGGTAGCAGCAGACTACGAAGTAGGATTGACTGGACCTTAGTACCTGATATCCTGTACTCTGGAATCCCTATACATTACTCGGATAAGGTGAGAAATTTAGGTCTCATCTTTGATTGTAACATGTCTTGGGCACCTCATATTAACGAACTAAGTAAACGTATGCATTTTTCCTTTCATTCTCTCAAGCGTCTCCAATACTTTCTCCCATTCAAAACCAAAATAATGCTAGCGCAATCCATCCTATTACCCATTCTCGACTACGCCGACGTCTGCTTCCTGGATGTGACAGAGGAGCTACTTAATAAACTGGAGCGTCTTCAGAATCTCGCCATACGTTTTATCTTTGGCTTGCGGAAATATGACCACATCTCTGACTTCCGTGCTCAACTTAAGTGGCTCCCCATCCGTCTTCGCCGTAATATGCACACCCTATCATTCCTTTATAATATCCTTAAAAATCAAAATTTCCCTCCTTACCTTCGTTCCCGTTTTAACTTTCTACCAATCCCTACACGTTCCAGAAGATCTTGCAGTACTTCTATGCTCGACATTCCTAGGAGCAATACTAAATTTCAACAAAACTCTTTTTCTGTCCATGCCGCAGTACTATGGAACCAACTGCCCAAATCCATCCATGAGAGCCCATCTATTCATGTTTTTAAATGTAAATTAAAAAATTATTTATTCTCACAAATGTAGACAATATCAATCAGTACCTTTCTCCATTTTCATATTTTATATATTAACTATGTATATGTATATATGTTTGTATGTATAAGTAGTCTTTACATTAGGTATTATATATGTATAGTATTATATATTTTTGTATATATGTATGTATATATGTATGTATGTATGTATGTATGTATGTATAAGTGGTTATTATTACCTTTATTTCTAGTATATATTTAGTTTTTTTTTTTTTTGCACTATATTGCCCGCTGACATCTTCTTCCACAACCAGGGTTGACTGGAAGAGATCTCTTTTAGAGATAAGTCCACCTTTGTGAACTATGTTTACTTTGTTATTTTTTTTTCTGTATCATATTTTAAGTGCAATAAAGAATATAATAATCTTTTGTAAAATTAAGTGTACAATAATTAATTGTTACCACCACACATCAAGTGAACGGTGAGATAAAAACTAAAAGAATTATGCAAAAAAAGCGCTTGTGTGTATTATTATGATGTTACTAGCGGCTCACCCTCGCTTAAAACAAAGACAAACCTATCCCACGGGTAGGTATATATAGATAATCTATCTCTGTGCCGTTCTGGCGCGAAAGAGTAATAAACATACATCCATACAAACATTCTTACAAACTTTCGCGTTTGTGATATTAGTAGGAAAAGCATTGCTTCTGAGAGCACTAATCAAAAGAGGCCCTTATTATTTTTAAGATGTTTCCCTATTCCACAGAATAGATAGTAATAATTTCCACAGTGTACAAGAATATTGTAACAAAAAATATAGTCGAATTCGCACACGAAGGGTTCCGTATCATCGTACATGTACCTTTTATTAATATGACTTTTACTCTATGTATGTATATATGACATAACTTCGATGATAAAAAACGAACTTTCGTGTATTTTTATTATTTGTTATTATCAGCAATACATAGTCTGTAAAAATTTAAACTCTCTACCTATTACGGTTCATGAGATATAGCCCTCTGACAGACGGACAGACGGATGGCGGAGGCTTAGTAATAGGGTTCCGCTGGCACACTTCGGATACGAAACCCTAAAAACGATTTACAGCATCAAATATAACTAGGTAATAAAGTAGAAGTTAATAAAAAATGAATCAGTGTCTTCAGTCTTTTAATATCATGGACTTATAGCCTTTTTATGTACTCCATTGTGACCATCTGACCTCTCGTTTTATAAGAAACGTTATGGCTATTGTAGTTTTTATACTCACTGTAGTTTGTATGAAAATTGTGCTTACCGCAAATATGGCTAGGAATAAGCTATTCTATACATCTGTTGCTTAAATGTTATTCTTTAATTTGAATTGTTTATTAGTGTTATATGATATTTATAAATAAACTAGCAACTCAGCCTTGCTTCACTCGGTTTGGTCCCTAGCTTGATTCCCAATACATACTTTCATCCCTATTTTCACCCCCCTGAGGGATGATATCCGGGATAAAACGTATCCTATGTCCTTCCCAGGATCTCAAACTATCATCTTACCAAATTTCATCTAAATTGGTTCAGTAGATCCAGAGATTACCTCCTACAACGTCACAAACTCACAATCTCACAAACTTTATCTCTTTATAATATTATAGTATAGATTAATGTCAAATATATGGAATAAGTCCAAATTTTCAGTACGAAGTATTTAAGTATCCATAGTTGTTACAGTAAGAGTTGGATTTAAGGGAGACCAGAGAAAGAGCAGTAAGAGATTAATAGATAAGAAAACCCAAAAGAGAAATTTCTATCTGTTCTAAATTATTTTTATGTGCAATGGAAAACTAAAGGATTTCTTTAATTGGTTTGCAACATAGGGACCTCCAATCCTTCAGTAGCCGGGGGCTCCCACAGTGAAATACGACCCGGAGTCTAGTACTCTGGAATTAACTTGTTTGGTAAATACCTAATGGATAACAGTTCTTCAAACTAAGCCTTCAAATAGATCCTTAATAGTTTAAGGTACGTAAACAGCCTTGAGATGTAAGTTTTTAAGTCAAAATGGCTTACTTTGCAGTCCATATCTTACTTTTGTCATAGCATGTTTTCAGGTTTTAGATAGCAGTCTCAATATTAAGGAAAAATTTTAAATATTGCCAAATAAATATTATTATACTGTCAAAATTCTATGAAAAATGCTCTATAAAATCTACTCTATGCTCTTCAAGAACACAATCATTATCGATTTGAATATAATTTTAGAAAATTACAATACTATTGTAATTTCCTCACGTTTGCCTCTTGGAAGCAATAAAAAAACTTCACATTCTAATCTGAACCATAATCGCTTCAATTAAGGTATAATTTCATAAAAAAGAAAAAGACAGATTGTAGTTTATGGACACTTAAAGTTGGTAGAGCGCAAACTCTTACCCTTGAAGCCAACAAATGCTAGCAATATAAGAGCAATAACAACTCGCGGATATTGGATGTAGAGAGCACTTGGAATGAGAAGATGTCAATAGGTAAGGTACGTGCATTTCCACGTATCAAAGACAAAGGTCGCTAGATTGTTGGAATATTATTGTTTAGTATGTATTCAGCCCTTTTTAACGTCCCACTGCTGGGCACGGGCTTCCGTTCAATACGAGGGGGATCAGGCCGTAGTCCACCACGCTAGCCAAGTGCGGGTTGGTGGACTTCACATGTCCGAAAGACATTTCGGGAACTTGCTAAGTTCTCTCAGACATGCAGGTTTCCTCGCGATGTTTTTCTTCACCGTAAGGCAAGTGGTAATCATGTTAGAAATGATTCGCACATGAAAATACCAAAGGTGCGAGACCCGGGATTTGAACCTGCTTCACCCGGTTCCCGAGCGAGCGCGTTACCACTGGGCTACTACTGCCTTTAGTATGCATTCAGCCCTTTTTTACGTCAATTGGATTAAACTACTTACTGGGCATGGGCCTTAGTTCAATACTAGGAGATCAAGCCATTCCTTAATAGGTACTCTATATATTACTCTATTAGTATATATGTATGTACCTTACAATAATCCTTTTTTTTTAATAAATAATTCTAATTGGTGTTGCTATATAGTTTTACAATCTGAAGTATTTTATTTGTATTGGTATTACAGTGGTAATTTGTATAATTTAAAAATATTTATTTCGCGTATTTTCTTAGATTTACAATGTCTCCATACAATACATTAAAGTGAAAGTGCCGATTTAGAATTTTGAATAAATTATTTGATGGGAGAACTGAAAAGGATATCTTGTGTGG